CATCCATCCATCCATCTATCTATCTATCTATCTATCTATCTATCTATCTATCTATCTATCTATCTATCTATCTATCTATCTATCTATCTACCTGACACCCGGCCTGTGCTTCTGGAGGTAGAAAACAGCCCTGGAGGCTGGGAGTTGTAAAGGGACATCAAGACAACTCTATGGAAGGGAAGGATGAGCCATTAAGGGAGGGAGAAATCCCCTCCCTCCATCCTGAGCAAGCATCAGGAGGAGTCTCAAAATAACCCCATCTTGATTCTCTTTGGTGCAAGGGGGACACAAGAAACTCCGAGGAGCTTTGAAAATTGAGGGAAATGGCAGAAATTCCAGAAATTTTTTCTCTCTCTCTCTTTAAATTATTTCTCTTGTAACAGTTCTCCTCTTGATCGATGCAGAGTTAATCACGGAAACTTGAAAGCCTGTCCAGGTTTTTCTCTTCATGATGAAAGCTCATTGTAGTTTTGGGCCAGTTGTTCAATTTTGGCTCCACAGGAAGGATTGGAGCACCAATGTTGCTTTCAGTTCCTGGGGGGCAGGGAGGCTGGCTGCTGATCAGATGATGAATCATGAAAACAGGTCCTCTCTTTTGGCCATGCCCATGCACACACACACACCCAGCAACACTCTTCCCGTGACCCCCTTCCTGGCCAAGAATTTCTCGGGTTCCCTGAAAGGTCTTCAGCCGTGTCAGGGAGCAAACATGACCCAACGTGGGGAAGCTCCAGTTGGTACAAAATGCAACGGGCCGCATGGTTTTGTGCAGACCCCGGTGTGCACATGTATCACCTCTCTTGCGGGAGTTGCAATGACTGCTGATTTGCTTCCGGATGCAATTCAAGGTGCTGGTTGTCACCTTTAAAGCCCTTCATGGCTGGGGACCAGGTGATCTGAGGGACCGTCTCTTGCCGGTCACATCTACCCGACCCATCACAGCTGGGAGGCAGGGAATGCTGCGGGTCCCATCCCTGAGGGAGATACACCTGGTGGGACCCAGAAGAAGAGCCTTCTCCGTGGTGGCACCCTCCCTCTGGGACATCATCCCCCCAGAGATTAAAACGGCCCCCACTCTAACATTCTTCCGGAAGGCACTGAAGACCTGGTTCTGCCAGTGGGCCTGGGGAACCCAGAGCAGGATGGAGCCCATTCAATGGCTCGTGTGAGGGGAGTTGGGGGGTTAGTTTGTTATATTGTACTATATTAATTTGTTTCTTTTTGTTAGTTTTATGTATGTATGTATGTATGTATGTATGTATGNCAGTATATAAGTCTAAGTGCTAGTGCTATCTTCCTTACTTCCTTCCTTCCTTCCTTCCTTCCCTCTTTCCTTCCTTCCTTCCTTCCTTCCTTCCTTCCTTCCTTCCTTCCTTCCTTCCTGAATGCAGTATTGCAGCTAACTCTGCCCACTGCCAACAGTTCAATTCTCACCCGGCTCAAGGTTGACTCAGCCTTCGGTTGTTACAAGGTGGGTACAATGAGAAGCCAGATTGTTGGGGACCATAGGCTGACTGTCAACCGCTAAGAGAGGGCTGGAAAGCACTGGAAAGCGGTATATAAGTAAGTGTTATTGCTATTGCTAAATTGTCCCATGGTGAATTATCCCGTGTTGAGTTGATCGTGGTATGTGGGCTGCAGCGAGTTGCCCCTTTCCGTATCAGAGGCGAGGGTGGGGGCTGCACCAAGCCAAGAGGGTGCTTGTTCAGTCATACCCCATGTGTAAAATTGGGATGGGGCTTTGGTTGCGCAGTGATGGTGGCCTTGATTTACTTGACAGCTCTGGGGGGTGACTCATTCTAAGTCTGGGAATGTTCTAATGAGCAGAATTGACAAGAGGCCAAGGAATCTTACTTTTGGGGTCTCAGAACAGGGACAAGGTGAGGTTTGGGGTGATGGAGAGTGGGGTGCTTTTGAATGGTTAGCTTTCCTAGACCAAAGAGTGGAGCGGAAGGAACAGGGAGTGAACAATGGTCTCCAGTTTTGAATTCTTCCCTCTTTTTCTAAAGTGGCTTCTGCATTTTTGCTTTCTTCATCGCCCCACCCAACAAGGCCACAACAAATATCTGCATAAGAAACTTGCACTGATAGTTTGCAACAGAATTTTAGCATTACATAATTTTGGGGGGCACTACAGTTCATGGGGGGGAGGGAGGGGGAGGAATACAAAAAGGGAGCTGGGACTATATGTGGCTGCCGAGAATTCGGGGTGCCCCCCCCCCCCGGTTTAGAAAGTGGTTGATCCTATTCAGTGTTACATTGGAGTGGAATTTAGATTTCTTTTTTCCAGCATGCAGGAAAGTGGCCCTGACCTATTCTCCTTTCCTTCCTCTTTCTCTTTTTACTGCTACAATTTAAGGCTCTTCATCCGGTATGTATGTGCCTGTGTATGTTTGCCCTGGGACCACAGCCCAGCCGAGGGCATTGGAGGGGCTGCCTTGGGTTGAGAAGCTTTTCCTGCTTTTTAATTAGAAAAAAAGAGGGACTATGTGGCAGAACAGCTTCATTATTCAGTGATCGTTAAAAGAGGCCAGAGGTGCTTTTCTGCAGAATTCTGGATCCTTCAGTGCTCAGCTGGGAACAGGCAGAGACTGTGTGCTCCGGATATGTCTGTCTGCCTGCCTGCCTGCCTGCCTACCTACCTACCTACCTACCCATTCATCTATTTATCTGTCCATCCATCCATTTACCTACCCACTTATCTACCTATCAGTATCTGTCCATCTGTCTGTCTATCATCTATCCATCAATCCATCCATTCAGTCACTTATCTACCACTCACTCACTCTCTCTTTCTCTCTCTCTCTGTCACCTATCATCTATCACCTGTTTATCATGTCTGTCTGTCTGTCTGTCTGTCTGTCTGTCTGTCTCTGTCTGTCTATCTATCTATCTATCTATCTATCTATCTATCTATCTATCTAT